GTTAAAAAAGAAGTTAAAGATAAAGGTAAAGAGTAAGCTTAAATTAATTTAAGCTTTAGTAATAAAAAACTAAAGTAAAGTTTTAGTATTAAATAGCTACCTTTATATTTAGATTACTTTTTAGTATAGTTTATAAGGAATAAATTAATCCTTTAAGAGCTTTTATAAATATTATTCTTAGATTAATCTTAGATCTAATTATATCCTTAACTATACTACTTTAATTTCTTAAAGCTCTTTTTATAACTATATAAACTCTTAGAGTTTTATTAGCTCTTTAGTAATAAGAATAACTAAGTTAAGGTTTTAAAGTGTTTAAGTAGTATTCTATTAAATATTACTTTTTTATTATTATTACTAACTATTATATATAGATTACTATTATAAAGAACTAAAGATATATATTAGTATTAAAGAGTAAGTTTAGAGTAATTTAAGAATATATTTAGATTAAATATAGCTTCTTCTTTATAGAAAAGATTAATAACTTAGTTAAACTAAAGGTTTACTATTAAATAAAGCTAAGATTAATAACTTAATATTATTAGATTTAACTATTAGATAGATAAATAGAGAGCTTAATAGGATTAGAGCTAGGGATTTATTTATAAAGATTATTAGAAGTAATAATAGTAATATTAGAGAACTTAAAAGCTAGAAGCTTAAGTTTTATTAAGGAGGTATAAAATATTACTAGAAAATATTATCTCTTTTAGAGTATTAAGAATATTTCTTTTTTTCTAAGAATAATTAGATATTAATTTAAGCTTAATCTAAGTTTAAATATAATATATATTTTAGTAAATAAGTTTTTAAGCTTTTTATATATAAACTAAGGTTTAATAATATATAAAAGATATTTTATACTACTTAAAAATATTATTTTTTTTATATATATAGAGGTCTTAAATCTAAGAACTAAAGATTAAATATTAAATATATTATCTATAAAGTAAGTAAAGAATAAATTATACTTAATTTATATTTAAACTAAATTTAAACTATATTTAAACTATATTTAGACTTTATTTAAACTATACTTAGATTATATTTAAACTATATTTAGATTAAGATTAAACTATATTTATTTTAAGCTTAAACTATATTAATAATTATTTACTTTTCTTATATTATAACTAATAGCTTTTATTAGCTACTCTATATATATAATAAGTAGTAGAGGGATTTAATATAATTTATATAAGATACTAATTTATTCTAATTTATTTTTATATTCTTTAATTAAATTAAGTTTAAATTTAAGTAGATATACTTCTAGTTTTTATATTAAGCTTAATATTTAATCTTTAGATTAAAATAAGTTAAAAGTAATTTAAGATTAAATAGAGCTTATTTTAGATATAATCTTATTTATATAGTAATTAATTTATTATATTATTCTATTCTTAATATAACTAGTAAGTTAGAAGAGATATTATTATATAGAATAATAACCTTAATACTCTACTATATATAGTTCTAAAAGTATTTTAGATATTATATTAAAAGTAAACTTTATAATACTAAACTAAATATTCTATATAAACTTACTTCTCTTTTTTATAAAGTAATAAGACTTTATATTATATATAGGTTTTAAAGCTTATTTATTATTAATATAAGGTATAATCTAAGTATAATTAAGGAATATTCTAATATACTTTAAAAAAGTTTTATATTTATATTTATAGTAATCTTAAGGAGTTTATAATAATATTAGCTAGGTTAAAGCTTAAAAAGTATATAATACTAGCTAAAGTAGATATATAGGACTCTCTTTTTTAATATTTAGAATAAGTATTTAAAGAAAAAGTAATATATTTTAAGGTCTTTAGAGTTTATTATAATATAAGTAAGTAGAATATTTATTATACTTTTATTAGTTTTAGATTATTTTAAGATTATATTAAGAATAAACTTATTTTACTTTAAGTTTAATATATAGTAGCTTAATATAATCTCTCTTTTATTCTTTTTAGAAAAGTGTTTATAGTTTATATTAAGCTAGAAGGTTTTAATAGTTTTTTAAAATTTAGCTTAACTTTACTAAAAGCTAATTATTATCTATAAATTAGATATATTATAATAGAAGTATTATAAGTATTAAAGCTTATTAATATATAGAGTAATTTATAATTACTTTAAGAATATATTAAGGGTTTATTAAGAATATTTTTAGAAATAATTTATTTAATTATTTCTTATAGTATAATATAATATTTCTTAGAAGTATTATAATCTAAGTATAGAAGAGCTTATTAAGTAGTAGAGGAGGTTTTCTCTCTTAATTAGTATAATAATCTTATTCTAATTATTTAAGCTTAAGTATATCTTAAGTAATATACTTTTTTTAAATTTATTATATAGATTTTAATAATATTAACTATTTATATAGGTATTTAGTAAAGATTAATTTTTATTTAAACTAAATATAATTTATAAATATATTAAGAGTAAGATATAGATTATATATAGACTTAATAAACTATATAAGCTTTTAATAGATTATTAATAAGATCTTTCTTATTAGTAGTAAGAGGTAAGTATAAAGCTTCTTATAGATTAAAAGTATATATAAACACTCTATAATATTATATAAGATAAATTAATAGAACTTAACTTTATAAAAGTACTTTTTTATTTATTTTTATTTTTAGTTATAATTAATCTTTAATTTATTAGAGAGTATTTTATAATTACTTTAAGATTAAAAGTACTTATTATATTTTAGCTTTTTATATTAAGTAATATCTTAAACTATATAGCTTAAATTATTATTTAGATAATAATAATTTAGGTTCTAAATAATTTATTAAATAATAATAATATAACTACTAAATTTAAAAAGGATTAAAGATATAGTATATATTATAGAATTTATCTTTAATTAGTTTATATATTATATAATAAATTATAGTTAATAACTTATACTTTAAATAGTTTAAGTTATTATTTATTTTAGAGTAATTAAGGATTAAATATACTTATAATATTATAACTTATTATACTTAATATATAGGGTTTTAATTTTAATATATTAACTTTATTCAGGTTTTAAAAGAGTTTTAGGTTATATATACCTAAGTAATTATTTATTATTATAGTATGAGGATTTAGGCGTTTTTTTATATTTCTTATATTTATTTTTAGATTATTTTAAGAATAATCCTATATAGTTCTAAGAACTTAAGGTTAAGATATTTATAAGTAGTATATTTTATATATTAATAAATAACTTAGTAGTAGTTTTAGACGTTTAAAAAAATATATTATATATTATTTTCTATTTACTTTAACTTATAATAAAATTAAACTTATTAGATTAATATAAAGACTAAATATAAAGTAATTTAAAATAAACCTATTTTATTTTAAAGCTTCTTAACTTTAATATTTATAAGTCTTTTTATTAAAATTATATATAGATACTTATTAGAAAATATATTTAGGTAAATAAAGATATTAATAATAAATATAATATCTTCTATAGTAAATATAGTTAAATAGAAGATTAATCTTAAATAAGTTACTTATAAAATTAGAGATTAATTATAGATTATATAGTTTTAATACTTTATTTATTTATCTAAGAGATATAATTATTTATTAATTATAAGGTTTAATTAGGAAGTTATAAACTTACTTTATAGCTTCTAATTATTAGATCTCCTCTTTAAGAATATTAATAAGTAAAGGAGTATTTTTAGAGTTATTATATATATTTATAACTTATTAGAATAGCTACTTAAATTTATTATCTTTATTATTAATATATTAATTTAAATAGATTAATTTAAGATTAAATACTATTTTTTTAGTTTAAGTAGAATTAACTATAATTAGTTTTAGATTATTTTAAGATTTAGTATATAAAGTTATATAGTAAAAGATTATTTTAAGTAAATTAAGTAATAAATAAATAGAAACTACTAAATATACCCTTAAAATAGGGTAGTAATAAGTAAATTAATATACTCTTCTTTCTATAGATAAATATTATACTACTTATAAGTAGGGCTAAGGCGTACCCTCTGTTAGGTTAGCAGGGAAGGGGGTACCTAAGGTTAACTGCATTATGTCTCTGGTCTCTAGACCACCCTGTGCCTTTACTGCTCCCCCCTGCCATGCTGCAGAAAATACGCACCACAGAATGAAAAATAAGGTGCGCCAGGCTTGTTCTGAAGCTAAGCCGCACACAGTCTAGAAGCCGCAGCAGCAACGAAAAGGTTGCGGCAGTCTGTCGAGTAATTAGGTAGGTTCGCGAGAATAACAGAGTCGCGGCACCGACAGAAGAAGCGAGGGCGGATACGTACCGGGGCCTGGGACCCGCTTTCCAGGTATTCCCGGGGCGTCTCCGCCCATCGCCGGCCTCGACCCTCTGCAGACCACGCGATGATCTCCGGCGTCCCGGGATCAGATGGATAATACACTCACATACCTGCATACACGCACACACCCAACCACGCCCATCCACACAACATGTACACTCAGTCTGAACACAACACAACACAACACAACACGGCCCAGCCGCACCCACACTCGGACGGTCCACCCACTGGGGAGGCCCCACTGTTCCATACCGTAGACCGGCGCGGCACCGAATACCGAATCCCAAAGATGCAACGGCCCTGAGATGAGATGGGGAGCCTCGTTGACATTAACACCCTCCCCCATTGGCTCCGTTCATAGCCTCCTGCCCTGGGCTCCATCGTCGCATCTTTCTTACCCTCGGATATCTTGCTCTGCTCTACTTCATGATGCTCTCTCCAGTCCCACCAGATATATAATCCTCCCGTCCACCCACCCTCGCCTCTCAATTCCCGCTAATGCCCTCCACCTCCACGCCCCCTTCTTATCCATCCCACGGATCCATCTTCATCGTTGTTTCCTCTCTACTCTTGACTTGTAATCTGTCATCGTCTTCGTGACTCTTGTTGATCCTTGCCTGACTCACCTCATACTGTCCATTAAAGCAGCAAGCTCATCATACAACCGCTGCAATGAACAGTACATCGCCCGAGATTCCTCCCTATACCATGGCCACCGGCTTCCCGCCCATGGGCCCGAATAACACTGCCTATGACCTCATTGCCTCTCAGTTCGCAGCTCGTATCGTAAGTCCTCGTTCATCAGTCACCCGCTCGTTGAAAACTCATAAAGCTCACGTTTGAACCGCAGGGTACGAACGAGAACGGCTACTGCACCCCGACATCACTATGGTCTTGCCCGCCGAGTCCCACATCAAGCATCGACACCAACAAGGCCGGCGACTCCCACGATGACTGCAGCCACTCATCAACGTCGGAAAGCTCCCTCGACAAGGCCTCTCAGAAGAGCAGACGCGCCAACAGATACAAGAACTGCAGCGAGACCGTGCTTTCAGTAAGCGAACCTGACATCGTCCAGTCATTGTGAGACATTCAACTTACACTGTACCTCCAGAAACGACGCGCACAAAACCGGGCTAACCAGCGCGCGTACCGTAAGCGCAAGGAGCAACGCTTGGAGGAGCTCCAGCAGCAGATCGACGATATGCACCAGAAGAACGACGCCCTTTGCTGCGCCTACAGGCTGCTGGCCAATGAGTGCTGCCGCCTCCGCGCTGGCCAGGTGACTGAGCAGTCGTCAACAAACTGGAACAACATGAACGGCGCCAACAACCTGATTCTCGACATGGCCGCGCTTAACGCCTACCGAACCACCAACCCCATCGCGACTTCGAGCCCAGCCACCGAGTCATATATGGAGTATCCCGGCACTCCCGAACAACTGTGGAGCCCCTATCCGTGAGTGGGTGCGGGATCGGCGCAGCTTCGCAGATAGTGATGGGCCTATGCGGTAACCGTCTTGAGATGATCAGGATTTTATGATTTATGGTTTTTCTTCGGGATCCGGTCATTCCCTTTGTCTGGGTGAGCCCCCTGTGGACGATGGTGTCTTCTTTTGGGGTTTGCGGCGTTGGACGGAAGAGCGTTGTTACTTTTAGCCGTGGAGTATGGTCTTTTCTTTCTACTTCACCTCTACAAGTGATACCAGCCGGGCGTAGAGTCAGGGCTGACATCTGGCAGCAATGCCACTGACACGAGATGTATGAACACGAAGCATGCAGACTCTGTGTAGACAATCAAAATCTGTGACCATTCATTTGGTTTCTCTACTATGTGACCTGATAATACCTTGTCGAGATGAGAACGTGGGCAAGCCTCATAGCGCTACCTTACTTGCACGACCAACACGCACTTTAACACTTGGCTACCGGACCTCCTGGGATAGTGTAGCTAGTTGGCTGGAAAACCTTGTCAGTGTTCCGAGCTCGCAGTATTTCTCGGTCTGACTCACCACGGGATAGTAAATGTTGATCAAGATTCCAGGCTCGTTGCCAGTGTACACGCCCCTGTCACCTGTCAGATACCAGAACTCCAAGCCATCCACACTGGACACTTACGGAAACCTGACCGTCGGAGAAAATTGACCACTTCCAGAGCCGGTCACTTTGATCTGGGCACATGAGATGTAGAACTGGGCCCCGCCCTTGGCGCTGGCTGAGTGCAGGCCAATCTGTTCGATGCGGAGGAGATACTCTCCAGGGGCTGATATCGCCAAGTCAGTTCCGTTTCTTGCAACAGGCAATCTACAGGAGGACAATACGTACGCGTGCATGATGGAATTTGAAAGTTGAAGGCTGCCTGGTTGGAGGCGGGAAACTTGATCTGTCCGTTGCCCGTCTCCGCGCCGAGCTCCCAGATCTTGGCCCAGGGTCCGCTGCCGTCGTACGTCGTGACGTTGCTGGAGCCTGCGGGTGACAGCCACACAATCACGGGACCGTCGTGGTAAATGGACTGGTCCATGGCGAAGCCAACCTGTTTTCTTGTCAACGACAGCTCAAAGTCCTAAATCTCCGTGTTCGGGCCGGTCACTTACGGTGGATCCCGCCGCGACAGTAGCGATCTTGGTGGCTGGTCCAGAGGAGAGACCGCCGGCATTGCACACAATATCCTTGCTCGAGACATCGGTGATAGGGCTGTTGTGGTTTGTGTTTCTCCGGACGTTGACGTACTCGCCGGTGTTGGTGCCTCCCACCACCAAGCTTGTGAAGCGGTCTAGGAGAGCATATCAGTATATGTTGCGCTGACAAGAGAGGAGACTGGTTTCACTGACAGTGAGCCGAGGTGAGGCTACATAATGTGGCAAGAGCGCCGAGGATTGGAGTGAGTGATTTCATGTTGAACTAGATGGGTAGCGGCTTTACGATTTCGTGGCTGGATCAAAGTTCTTTCTGAAGAGTATGCAACAAGCGCGCGATAGCTTGCTTTAATGGCCGTGAGTTTGCTGTTTGGCAGTATGTAGAAGTCTTCCCAAGTCTGGGCTGGTGGGGAGAGTTCCCCTGATCCGGAGGGGCCTATAGACGGATTGAGATCCCGGCACTTGCCTCATTAGTTCAGGAGGGTGTCGAGTCTAGATTGCCGAGACCATGGCGATGCAACTGTGTTGAATATAGCCGGTCATTTCTTCCGTGTCACGGGGATGTTGTGCTCCTTTTGTTGGCACCTGAGGGCACTAACATCGATCTGGTGTATGCCTCTGGGTAAGTCTAGACATCTGGCGACAAAACGTCCGAAGCTGCCAAGATGTTTATATTGCGGCCGTGGTAATATATTCAACCAAATCCTAGTTCTTGATGAAGATTCTCCGACGATATTGGTTTGTCCGAGTTGCCTCGCCCTCACAGGTCACGTCTGGGTCGAGCCATGGACAACTCAGAGAGAAAATGCTTCGCAGTTCATGCCAAGTGACTGTGCATTATTGTGAATTGCATGGGCTACAGATGGCTTAGTCGCCGAATCTTACGTTGGTGTACTCTTCCACATTTCTTTTCAGCTTTGCAACCACTTGAATTTGCATGTTTTGGATGTTCCAACCTCCAACTCAAAAGCCTAATCACGCACCGAGAGAAAGGAAGATCAACCATGTGCAACATAAACCCCAATCTCGCAACTTAGCAGTTCCACTGCGAATGATTAGCATCAAAACAAGAATCGAGACTGTTTCACCAGTACTTACCACGCTGCCTCCGGGGACTTCATAAGAAGTGAAGCCATTGTAGACTGCGAGATTTTGTTAGCATAGTACGCGCAACATTCGAATAGAGCACACGTACTGTTTGCGGTGTATCCTGGGTCAGTCTCCTTGAAAGCACCGGGGATGCTCAGTGTAGGCGAGAAGGCGCTCGCGCTGCTGCCGGTGACATTGATCTGGGCACAAGAAATGTAGAACTGAGGGATGCCGGCGGGCCAGGGGTTGTGGATGGCCAGCGACTGGATGCGCAGCAGGTACTCGCCGTTGGGAAGACAGGTCGGGATCTTGGCCTCGTATGTTTCTGCAGGGGTCAGTATCAAATTCCTGATAGAAATTGCGGACATTTCTTACGGTACATCGGCCATGTGGCCTGGCCGTTGGAGAAGGTCGGGCCAAAGTCCTTGAACTTGGCCCATTTTCCAGACCCGTCGTAGTCCTGAACGTGAGACGGCGCCTTGGAGAGGAATCTTTCAAACAAATGAGTGCGGGGTCTTCCGGTTGATCTATTCGAAACTCACAGAGAGATCGGGCCCTGGTGGTAGACGGCTGTGTCAAGGGTGAAGGAGAACGAGTCGCCAGGCTTGACCGAGGTGACGGTCGTCTGCGCACCGCTGGCGCCGCCTACATTGCATCTCAAGTCCGTGGAGGAAAGGTCTGGGAGTGTTTTCGTCAGTCGGGCTGATGCCCTTTGCAAATCGCCTTTCCTCGAAACCACGTACCAGTCACCGGGGAGTTGTAGTTGGTGTTCTTGCGAATGTGCTCGAAAACGCCAAATTTGGAAGAGCCCACGCCCAGCTGCTGGAAGATGTAGTGGCCAGACACCTCGGAGACGGCCACCGACAAGGCGGCTGCGATGGCAAAGACCTTCATGATGGGATGACTTGCAAATTGTGAGATGGCGAGCTGAAGGTCAGTGGCGGCGGTGGTTGAGCAACCAACAGCTCGGGCGTTGCGAATGCCCAGCTTCATTTATTATCCTCAGAGCCACCACAGAGCTGGACTATGACATTCATCACGGTCATCCGCGGATGTTTTGCACGGAGACGGCCCGGAGCCCCTGCCTCCACGATGCTACCCCGGAGGAGTTCCTCACGAGTTTGAGGGGCTTTGACTTGTGAACTACCTGGGTAAACGGGAACAGTGTCGCCCCTTACTTTATGATGGGCTCTGTATCCAGCAAATCACCCATGGCGTCCTAGACTTCCTGGTATGCATGAGGCGAGCTGGTTGGTGTACTTTTCGGGCTGCAATATAAATCGCCCCCGCGGAGTAGTATCCAGCGGCACGGGATCTGAGATTACAAGCAAGAGAGGCGACGTTGTGTTCCCTTCTTCAAAGGACCCATCAAGCCTGCATATGAGTGTCCTGCATGTATTTTGAACCACAACGAAGGCCAATCGGCTAGTCATAAAAGCCATGGCCGATGTTTCTATCGCCAAGGGAAGTCGGACCGGCTGTCTAGACCCGAAGATTGACCGTTGTTAATGGAAAAAGGGGGCATGACATGTTTCATGAAAGTGGATTGGCTGCAGTCGTTTGGATGCGAACAAGGACCGTAGTCGATAGGATCTCCCGGCAGAAGTCGCGCATGCAAGGAGTAATAGCCGATTCGCCGGAAGAGACGCACACCCATGTTGCCAATCTACTTTAAATTAAGCTTGTCGCAAGAAATATGACATTCGTCACACGATTGCGAACGGGATGCCTCTGTTTTGGCGACATCCATACATGAGACGAAGGTTCGGAGCTTGTGCCTCCGATTCGAAGCGGCACGGGATCGACACACATCACTGCCGGTACCGCGAAAATATTGCTTGGCACGAACAAACATCATCCGGAACCAGAAAGGGGTCATATCAACTCAAAGGACGCATGATTTTCTTAGGATAAAGGCCCGGGCATTACGTGACTCTATTCTCCAAGCCTACCCGGGTCCAACTGGGCCAGTAGATGTCTACTATTGAGATGGTGGAGGGTAATTATGTGTCCATGGACGTAAGCATATGACACCGGAAGCTTCAAAAAGATTGAGTTGGGTATATTCGATCCATGTTTAACGCCTCGTGCCATAGCCCATTACTAGCATGTCATACTAAAGAAATGTTCAAGACTCCCTGCCCGCCGTATCGTTTTCCCATAAGCCCAATACCACGCGATACTATTGCGTAAATCCACTAGGAGACATGCCAGGGTTCAAGAGGGACCAGTATGTCGTATCGACGCCTTGGAACGCCCAATCGCCCACCTCGGCCGTTATACCCGGACATTGCCATCCCAGGCAGTCGGCGTTGAATCCGGTGTATATGTCCCCGTGAGTGGTGTTGAATTCCTGGCTGAGAAGAGCATCCACAGACGCCATGGACGGGGTTTCTTGGTTTGGCGGGAATGAAGGCGGCGAAACCGTAGTGGTGTTCGAGGGCGTTGGAAGCTGGGAGTGGCTTAGATCCACCAAATGAGACTGGGCGTTTTGGTCCGACGAGTTTTTGATGTTGATTGTTCCAAGATAGGGAATGCTCAGCTTGAGATTCCACTCCTCGCCCGTCTCCGTGGTTAGGCAGTTCCTACAGCAATCGATAATGGGCAGCAGCTGCTTGATGATTCCGGCGCTCTCCCCCGAGAGCTTGTCGTCATTCAAGTCGGCCAGCTCTTCCATCTTCTCCATGACGGTCTGGGCCAGCGCCCTGTCTTCATCGCGTTGCAGAGCCCATTCATCGCCCCTGACTCCTGGTGGGCGGCTCAAATGACCTAGCAACAGTGTCATTGCCGCCATGAGAGAGGAATAATCGATGTGGCGACAGGAGAAGGCGGCATCGTTCGCCGTGCGGAAAACGACACAGCGCTTGAGCACCGCCCGGCTCGACTCTAAGCATACTTGCTTACTGTAGTCGAAGCGGTTGTTCGTCGGATTGCGGAGCATGTAAGGTAGATGCAGCAGAATGAGCAGGCTGTGGTGGTGAATCTGCAGCATCAGGTGGGACATGACTGTCATCTGCGTCTCCGGATCGGCGAAGGTCGACATTGGGGGCATCTCCCACCACCCTGCGCCCATGGTCTTCGCCGCATGTTCAAGCTCGCAGTCGATGGACTGCGTCATGGCGTATCCCTCGCTGGTGGACGCATGGTTCCTGTCAATGATGCGGAGGCATATGGCCGTGTAACGTTTCTCCAGCTTCTCCATGGGTGTGTCGTTACCTGTGTAAGTTTCACACATGAAGCTGTTGTCTTGGGTGCCGGCAGGCAGCCCAAGCAGCAGAGACAAGTAGCGATCACAGAAGTTGATTCGGTACCAAAGTTGGTGTGACGAGGGTATCATTGCCGGGTTGGTGGTGGGGTCACAAGACTTGAGCGGCCGACCGCCGTTCCGCTCGATGCCGATTAATTGTGCGAGGCTCAGGGCTCGTCTCATCGCCAGCCAAGCTTTGCGCAGGTTGCCCGAGTTGATGAGGTAGAAGCCCTGCAAAATGAGACACTCAAGACCCTCTACGGAGCCGACGAGGTCGTCGTTGGAGGTAACTTGGCTTGCGACTGCACTCCATTCGGCCATGGTGTCCTGGATGGAATTCTTGAGGGAGAGCCGAGAGGCGTCAAAGCATGGCGGTAACTGCTGGAGACAGATGGTCAACTGAAGAAGGCGCTTGGCTAATATGGCTGGGTGTTTGGCGATGTCGGGCATGGTTGAGAGCGATGCTAGCGACGGCGACTTGTTGTCGGCTATGTCTTGGTTGGAGTAGAACAAGATCAGGACGAATATCGGACCCCTGCTCGATTCGATTATTGTCCTGGCGTCCTGGACTGACGGAAACATGGAGTATAGTTCCTTGCATATCTTCTCATGTTTTTGCGTGGGCTGAGATGATTCTGATGTCGGCTTAGAAGGGGTTGGTTGTTGAAGCTGAGGCGCGACAGAAGCACTCTGGGTCGTCTGGACGCGGCTGTCCGGGGTGTAGAGAGACTCTGAAGTACGAGGAGACGTGTGCGAGGTGGCCGGCGTGATGACCTTTTCGGAGGACATTTCTGGGCCTATCTTGTCGGCCAGCTTGACCATCAACTCCTCAAGGCGGCCGAGACGTTGGGCCAAGCCGCGCTCGGGAGGACCAGACGGCTCATCGTCGATGAATTCCTGGCTGACGCAGGTGGTCCCCCTTGTCTTGCAGCCGGCGCAGGTTTGCTCTTCGTCAGAGGCAAACTCGCACCTGATCTTTCTCTTCCTGCCTGGATGGCATGTCAGCGGGCCATGCCATGTTCACACCCGCCAAGTCCGAAACCCAGATTCTGGGGTCTGAACCGATGTTCGGGTCTCGGGACGGCGGGGTTGTTTTTCGGACGGACGAACTCACACTGCCAGCAGCTGCGTGTTCCCTTGCGGACCTTTCTCTTCTTGGAGGGGCGCTCGTCCATGGTGTTAATACGATGGTGGGTTCACTAACACGGCAAAGGGTTGCAGCATCAATTGAGTGCTGTGTCTGACGGTTTGTGGCCAGTGATCTGGTGAAAGTTGGTCAAAGTTGTGCAGCCAGGCGAATTGGCTGAAGCTAGCCATGAAAAGAGCCCTTCGCACAGAGAATTGCATCACCGCGCCTGCCACGGCGTCAGCTCCTGTCTCATTGCTATCGTGATATTGTTCATCTGCTTACGGATATTTCGTCCGGTCGGAGGCCGAAGCGGACGAAGCGAGACCAGCAGACCTAATGAAAGAAATGCCCCCGGACGGACGAATGGTGCCCGAGTCATTTGCGGCAGGCCAATCAAAGCCAGACGCTTTCCGCTTTTGATACAAGCGTCCAAATGTCATTGGCCAGTGTTTCTTGGCTGATAAGTACGTACTGAAAACCACCTGCGCAGACTGCATTTGCATTCCTGGTGTTCAGCCATGCAATGCATTTGCATCTCACCCGCCAAGCATCCATCCTTCGCGCCGTCTGCTCTCTGAACTCGGACCACATTCGTATTTGATTACTAACTCCAGGATCATTCTCACGAATTTTGACAGACACGTTACAGGATACGTACTGCACATACCCGGCGCCAGTCTCCTCCCTGTAACAAGGCAAAGCACGCATTCACAAGCGTTCCTGCCCCGGGCCCGTCTCCGACTTTGACCCCGCACCGCTTCCGCTTCCGCTTCCGCCTCCGCCTCCGCCCCGATCAAGGCCCGGGTCTGCGCCGGAGGAAATCACGGAGGAAAGCACGGCCCTTGATGCAAGCTCTTCTGTGCTGTGCCGTGCTACCCTCCGCCACTCCGCATTCCAGCCGCATCGGCCCATGAGGAGGGGCCTGCCATGACCCCGCCGCCCGAGTACAAGTTTGTCAACTTCGGCGCCGACGAGGGAGAATTCCAGCCGGCAAACAAATCCGTCCGAAGCCATGCTATCAGGACGGCCATCCAGAAGGGTGCCTCTGAGCTGTATACCAATACGGCACTGATATCTCAGGACACCATCAAGCGCAAAGCGCAGTTGAAGGGCCGCTTCAGACTGCCTGCGACTCCTGCGAAACCTACCTCCGCAGGGCAAAGCTCCAGGGGCAAGCCAAGACAAACTACAACACCTCATTCCACCAATGCGTCACGGACGACTCCTCGTCAGTCGTTGCAGAATTCACTTGAATCCGTGACGCAGGCTTCTTTGCCTCCTTGGGTCCAGCGGCTGGGTAGCGATAACGCAGACCCCTTCAACACGCTGCCCATCCCGAGCAATTCCTCGGTGGATTCTCTGGTCAGATACTGTAAGTCGAACCTCCGCGTTAGGTTTGAACGTCCAAACCATCTACGGATGCTAGACGCTGACCCCACAGTCATCACAAGGTTCAACCTCAATTCGACCACGACTGACCAGCAGAGGCCATGGTTTCCCTACGCCATGCAGAGTGCTCTCATCATGCGCGTCACGCTCGCTCTGGCAGCCGAGTTCTTGACGGCGACGATGCCCTCGCTTGATCCGAAGCTCCAACGCGAAGGGTACCAACAGAAAGGCGAGGCCATGCGCATCATCAGGACTCGGCTGGAGTCTCGAGAGTCTGCCAAGAGCGCAAGCGACGACCTGTCCGTACTTGCCGGCGTGGCCATGCTGGGAAGCGTCGAAGTCAGTGTACCTACCTTGGTCCTTGGGATATGTCTCCAACGCACTTCAAAACTCTGACACACACTTTCAGGCATTCCAAGGCCATTTTGCAGCAGCAGAGGTACACCTGACCGGACTTCATTCCATGATGGAGGCCCGAGGCGGGCCAGACACGATCAAACACGACTACATCCTCTGCCGTTGCATCAACTGGTAGGGCTCTCCACCCTTTCCCCAGACTCCTCCTCATCAATTTGACTCTTACTCACCAAACCATCGTCAGGATTGACATCCAAGTGGCATCCGGTCTGGGGAGGATTCCGAAATTTCCCATGTTCCATACCCTCGACCAGGTCTCTCTGCCATCATCAGTCGTGAATCGCGCAATGACACCTTCCTTGCGTCACCTGGACAGGCTCGGAGGCCACAATCCCGACGAGAGCAATGAACCACGTAAGATTTTCGTGAGTCTGAGGCAAGCAATCTGCTCGCAGGCGGGGGCCGTGTCAGCAGACGACATCAGAATCGTCATGAACACCGCAGACAGCTCGATCCTGCACTTCCTGTACGTGGAGCGTCGAATAGCGACACCTGTCCAGAAGCGGTTCCTCGTCTTGGTCGCGGCGGCTCACGTTTTTCTGTACGTCGTCCTGCGAGAGATCCCGACAACCGGGCACATGATCCGGCTCTTGGTAGCGCGCATGCGGGCCGCGCTGGACGACGCAGACTCCATCGCACTCATCTGGGTCTCCCACGACGCCGCCCTGCTCTGGATCCTCTTCGTCGGTATCGTCGGGTCCGGAACAACAGAGGACCGCCAGTGGTTCGCTTCGAGATTGCACAAGGTTCTGGACAGAGCCGGCGACGTGTTGCCCCCAGAGCGATGTAACCGCGAAACCTTACAGCAGATGCTCGCGGGATTTCTTTGGCGGGACGAGCGATGTCTGCCGGTCCTGGAGGAAATCTGGGGGAGTCACACGCAGTAACGGAGTACCCGTACCCGTTCGGCGGTCAAATAACGACAACGAGATTGGTTGAAGCTGTCGTGGGATCGGAGGGTGTTGGCCTCGAGGACCATGTCAAGACACGCCGTCCCGCATGTCGGCGAAGAAACGACCGGTATGACCCGTATTGCAGCAATATCGGCGGTTGATGCGTTCGTCCTGTCGGCGGGAGGGTGAGGGTGGCACGACTCAGTCGCCGCAGGCAACGGGGACGAGTGCGTTGGATTGCTGACAATATGGAGAAATTGAGAGCACTTGGGCGCTCAAAATTGCCCTTTTTGCATCCAACTGGCCCCATCCCCGCATATTTTACCCCGGATTCCATCACACAATTGGAATTGCCAATGGCTTCGTCCCAACCCCTCTCATCCATCCATTCCTCTGCTCCTCTCTCAACAAGCCCCCATGCCCATGTCCATGGACCAGCCCCCCCCCCTTTCCCCTGCTTGCCTGCCTGGCCCCTTGTTTCTCTTTTGCGAGCCCCCTGCTGAGTTGCAGAGGAGCGAAGAAAAGCCCGGCGCAAACCGCGTCCGAGCCATTCGCACACTGTTTGTGCAAGGTGAAGGACAAGCACAAGCATGCTCGGTTTCGCGGCACGTCGGCCGAGTGTCTGCAATGCACGCGCAAACCTTCGGGTCCGCTAGAGACGCAGGCCATCAAATGTCGGTTTGCCCGTTGCGCGCCCGTCGAGCTATCTTTGACTGGTGTTCTTAATTGAAACTCATTTGTGGAAACAAGCCTTATCAGTGATCACTGCTGACAGTTGGTTCAAGGAATCAAGACTCGAATCATTTTCATCTTGAAACCGGCTTTACCGTGTTGCTTGCCACCGCGTCGTCGCATGTCGGTCAATTCGGCGAATATTTCTCTCGTTAATGAAGGCCCCAACGAGCCAACGAGGCCCGAAACCATTATCTCTGCGGTTGGTAATGGGAAGATGTCAGTTTATTCACGCCAGCACACGGCTGGCCACTCACATTGTCCCAAAGGCAGATGAGATGAGAAAAAACAAATACCAAGAGAAAAGAAAAAAAGGGTCTGCGCCAGTTCCGCCCTGAGTTCATGGCTCTGGTCGTCGGTCGACATGGGTGTTCCCAAAGTCCCCGTCGCGTGAGAGATCTCATTCTCGCGTCGCCAACAGCGCAGAGAAGTGAGATTTGTGCAGGGGCAACCCGCGTCGTCACGGCAGTCGGCCACTCACGTTGCAGGGAACGACGTCGGAGGCGTCGACAAGCCTTTTCCGCCCTCGAGTCGATCTTCTAGAAGCCTTCCTAATGCACGACTCTGTGCGACGGTGTGAGTGGGCACCGGCCAGGATGACGACTCGAGCATGTCGGGATTCTACGGGACCATCACCCGCGCTATTACGTTTTCCTTTGCAGCCGGCTGCGGGTATGCGGCATTGCTCCCACGAGCGGCATAGCGCATTCAGGAACACTGCAAAAACGGACAGACGGGCGTGACGGGCAGCCTTGAAAGGACTTCTCTCGCCAGGGCTAGCAGCGGCTCATGCCACCATGCCGCTCCCCCCCCTTGCTCGGCAATCGCCAACTTGGCTTTGCTTCCCGTCTGAAGAGATTGAGCCTCACACTCTTGGCCCAACGTCTGATGGCTTGTGGCTCTGCAAAGTGTGCGTCACTCACACCTTAGTCTGGGTTTCGAAGCAGGCGGACTGAGCGAGCGCAGAGTTTCTCCCGTCTGGACGGGCAATAACACGCATGCCTGACGATACACCCATCCGCAATCCCAGTTATGCCAGCTCTTCCCAGCGCCACCGGTCGTATTTCGGGGCTGGTCGTGGGTATGGACTGACTCAAGGGGCAAGGTGAGGCCACTCTGCGGCTCTTCTGCTGGGTCCATTAGGTAAAGCAGAGGTCACAAAATCCACTCTATTACGATGTCAAAACTTTTCGAATTGCCTCAGTCCCGCAGTGCCTCGCAGGCCCTCGCGAGCAGACCTGGTTTCTTTGACAAATGGCCAGCGCAAAGAGCACCAGCATCGTAGTTCTGGCCGTTGCTTCTCCAGGGAAACTCGGGACGCCTTCAACAGTGCGTCTGGAATTTCAGGGACGCTGGTCGATTTCGCGGGGAAAGTCTGCAACGGTCTATTCCCCCGCAAAACCAAGACGCACGGAATCATAGAGGCGACGGGGATGATGGGATGGGACGAGCTTGCTGTGATATCAATCATGACCCGGGCTGACGAACCTCCATGAACCCATCCCTTGCCTAGCAATTGCCATCGCGCCCACTCACATTCGTCCGTTGCCGGTGTCACCGCTCCAAGATCGCGGGGGCCAGAGATAAGGACCCTTGTTCAACAAGTCCATGTTCATTGATTGCATGGAAGTGGAAGGGGAAGAGTCTCCTCCAACTTGTTGGAGTTGTCCTCTCAGAGCAGTCGAGACGGCGGAGGGAAGGGCGAGGCTTCCATCGAGCCCTCCTCTCCTCTCCTCTCCTCTCCTCTCTTGTCCCATCTCCTCCTCGGCCTGACTCCGGGGTCGGTGCTCTGGCTCTGGCTCATGCTCCGCCTCTTGCCACCATATATCCTCCTCCCACCTTCCCATCTTTTTGGAGTTGTTTTTGCTCTCTCTCCTTCTTCAGTCCAACCAGGCACTCGACAGTCTCTCTCTCACTCTTCGGTCCTTCCAGACTCTTCAACTGCCGTTCGCGACCAGCTCAACCCGGTCTCTCCTCTCTTCTCTCGCCAGAGTCCAGAGCACGCGCCTGTGTAGGTCTGTCCAGTCTACTCGCCACCACCAAGTCGGTCCGTTTCTCTCCACACCAACGACACCAGCCATCTCGTGTGTGAAAACTCGTGCGCCCTACTAGGCCCCACGGAGCATATCCATCCATCCAGCCATCCTTTGCACAACGGTCAAAAATACCAACATCACCAACACCAACAGCAATGGATCACGACCAGATCAACAACCAGTCCCGCGGGGCTGAGGGCAAGGACACCAAGGCGGACGGCGCCGCTATCGCCCCCCAGTTCTCCCGCGATGCCGTCTTCCCCGGAGAGGTCGTCGGCGAGGTCACCGACCTCAACCGCCAGGACCTGGAGAAGCAGAAGGCTGCCCAGGGCAGCGCCCACTTCCACCGCCTCGGCTGGAAGCGTCTCACCGTCGTCCTCATCGTCGAGGCCATCGCCCTCGGCAGTCTCAGTCTCCCCGCCGCCTTCGCTACCCTCGGCATGGTTCCTGGCGTCATCCTCTGCATCAGTCTCGGTCTCATCGCCATCTACACCAGTGACGTCGTCGGTCAGGTCAAGCTCAAGTTCCCCCACGTTTCGCACTACGCCGACGCCGGCCAGCTCATGATGGGCCGCTTCGGCTACGAACTCGTTGGTGCCATGTTCGCTCTGCAGTTGACTTTCCTGGTTAGCTCCCACACCCTCACCGGCGCCATTGCTTTTGGCAACATCACCAACAACGGCGCTTGCTCCATCGTCTTCGCCGTCGTCTCCGCCATCATTCTGCTGATCCTCGCCATCCCTCCCTCCTTCGCCGAGGTTGCCATCCTGGGATACATCGACTTCGTCTCCATCATCTTGGCCATTGGTATCACCATGATTGCCACCGGCATCAACAAGGACTCCATCACCACCGCTCCCTGGTCCGCGTGGCCCCAGGACGGTCTCACCTTTGCCGAGGCCTTCATTGCCATCACCAACATCGTGTTCGCCTACAGCTTTGCCATTTGCCAGTTCTCCTTCATGGACGAGATGCACACTCCCTCTGACTACAAGAAGTCCATCTGGGCCCTTGGTCTCATTGAGATCTTCATCTACACCCTCACTGGTGCCCTCATCTACGCCTTTGTCGGCCAGGAGGTTCAGTCCCCCGCTCTCCTGTCCGCTGGCCACACCATCTCCAAGGTCGCCTTCGGCGTTGGTCTGCCCGTCATCTTCATTTCGGGATCCATCAACACCACGGTCGTCGGTCGCTACATCCACGGTCGCATGTACAAGGACTCCATCATCCGCTTCATCAACACCAAGATGGGCTGGATCACCTGGCTTACTCTGATTACCGTCATCACCGTCCTTGCCTTCATCATCGCCGAGGCCATCCCCTTCTTCTCCGAGCTCCTGTCCATCAGCTCTTCCCTCTTCATCTCTGGCTTCACCTTCTACTTCCCTGCCATGATGTGGTTCATGCTCATCCGTGAGGGCTCTCCTTTCGCCACCCACAACCTGTGGAAGACCGCCTTGAACGGTCTGTGCTTCGTCATTGGCATGATTGTTCTCGTCTGCGGCACATACGCCAGTATTGTTGAGATTGTAAGTTTTGACCGCTCATCGCTCTTGGTCATAGTCCACACGCTAACCCGCTCTACAGGCGCACAAGTTCAAGACCGGCGCCATCAGCAGCCCCTTCACCTGCGCTGCTCTTGCTTAAAGCAAAACAAAAGTCTTTCAAGTTTCATAGATAATACAAATACCCCCTGTTTATTACTGCAAGCTATTATCTTGTTCATGTGATGCGTTGTGACTTGTTGGATGCACGGTACTGAAGGTTGTCAGAATGCTCTTAGTTACTTTTTGCCAACCTCTAGTTGCGTCGTATGGTTGCTTGAACAGCTCCCAGCGAGTAAAGTATTTAGTTCGATCCCTGTCCGCCACCAAGTCCAACCAGGTCATGATGAGCTTTTAGATAACATATCTGTTGCTGCCAAATGTCCAACTTCCGTTGGGTTCTGGAGACTGGTTGAAGCAGATTCGCGACTTCATCTCCCGACGTCAAAACAAAGCCATATTTACTATACAGTCAAATCCTTGTTCGACCGCCATTGCGGAAAGTTTCGCAGTTGGAGCAGCAAGCCCGAAGCGGGGCCCCCGGACTGGCAAAGCAAACTGTGTAAGTTGCCCGTCGGCAGCTTCTGGCAAGTTGCAACTCAATAGGTAAGCCCGGGCGATGCAGTGTACGGCGAAAGATACCTGGAGGTTGCAATGCCGGCCCGGAACAGCGGGGCTCTGT